AGATGAACAAAGAAAAAAGGATTTCAGCAAAGAGAAGACTTTAGCACAGATCAGAGATGATTGTGTTAAAAGTAAGTGTCTTCCACTGGCTGTTGTTTTGAAGAGAGTTAAAAGATTTTTAAAATACTTTAAAAGAAAATAGATGAAATTGCATAGGTTTATAACATGAATGCGTCCTGTTTGTAACACAGGTCTTAAGGATCTTGGATTTGAGTCTCCACAGGTCTTCCTGGTGTCCAACCACGACATCCATCTGTATGATTTCCCTCACCTACGAGAGACCTTAGAGAGGGATCTCCCTGAACACAAGAGAGACGCTCTGCTGTTATCCTCACCCTACATATTCCCAGAGTACATAAAAAAAAAGAAAAATGTTTCTCCAGCATCAAATATGGGCTCTTGCTGCTCTACAATGTAAAACAAACTCTTCTTGTCAACACTAGATTTCAAGTGAATATAACTTAATTCTTATCAACTTGTTGTTTCTGTTCATCTTAAATAGGTCCCATGCATATTTTAGTAAACCTTAATAAATCTCAAAATAAATACACTTTATTGTACTTGTGTGAGGATTCTACACAGACCAGCCAGAGAGACGCTGAATGGATTCCAAAAATATTCTTAATTTATTACAAAAAGTCCAAAAATAATTCAAAAATGGTGGTTTGGGCCCAAAACTGAGGTCAACATACCAAACTACAACTCAGGTAGTAACACAAAGAACTGAAGCACAAAACTGACCTAACAAACAAGACATGAGGGGAACTTAAATAGCGGCTGATCAGACCACTGCTGACACATAAGGGGGTAATTTAACATGCAAAACTTAAACAAATTCTGGTCAACTCAATACTAAATGTTTAAATTAAATAAATACTATTAGAACTAAACTGCCAAAAAGAAGAATTTTGGCATTAAAGAAATGGCAAAATTAAGCTAAAGAAAACCATATTTCCCCTTCTCCTGGCAAACAAATGGAATGAAACCGCTGAGGAGGTTTGCCAGCCATAGAAGGATAGCAATCAGATGGAGCTCTTCTGACTGACTCCAGCAGCAGCTCCAAAGAAACTGGAAACTCAAAACAAGAAGAAATTAATTTGTTGCATATAACCAAAATATAACGAACCGAAAGATAAAGTTAACTACAATGCAAATAATGAACTAAAGAGTCAGACTAATGAAAATAATTTAAAAAATTAAAATCTGATATCTAAACTAATGTTAAAGATGAACAGAAAACAATTACCATTCAGATCTCTGTGTGACAGTATGGACAGCTGACACAACTTGTAAATAGTGTCTAATTATATTCCAATGAAATAATTTCAGTGATTACATACATGCTACTTTATGCTAACAAAGTATGCCTTACAATCTTTTACTATTTTGTTAAAATGGAAAAAAAAATCATTATAGTAAAACTTACTGTGATGTTGTTTAACAAAGCTATAAATATTTTGTTTGTGCTTCAAAACATCAAATATCGACAGTTTAGTAAGAGGATCTACAGCAAAAACATTGCTGGTCCCTTCACTAAATTCCTTAACACTAAAAACACTAAAATATCTTTAGTTTTACATCTCTCCAAATACGATCTGTTTTTATTTTTATTTTTTTTAGTTTTTTAAAAGGATCCATGATTAGTTGTAGCAATAGACTTCGAGAAACATCCATTCTGGATGTTCAGTACAGTACAATACAGTAGATTGTTCAGCTTTTATAAAATGTAATAAAATATTGCCATACGAATGTCGCCATGTTCTTCGCGCTGCAATGCATTCGGGGTAAATAACATCTAATAACCCAAGTGTATTCCCACCAGGTACTGTAAGCTTTTGCTGGCTCTTTCACTAAAATATTTTTTCTGAAAGACGACATTGAAGTAGTGCTGGGGGATACAAGGAAAATCCTTATATCCTGATATATTTTTGCTATATCACGATACATGATATATATCACGATATTCTTAACTGAGCCCCAATGTTATTTCAGTCTATAGACCCCTTGCAGCATGATGTCACCCATGCAAGTTCCTGCCCCGATTCACCGTTAGACTTAAATGTAATCTCATATAAAAAGTGATGCAGTATTTTGCTTTGAACTGTCTATATTATGACTAGATAACAAGGTGAGAAATAAGTTTTAACTAAGAAAAAAATAGCGAGGGAGAGGGAAGTAGGTCAGTTATGCTTGACTTTGACAAACTTAACATATATAGATATGCTGTGGAATAAGGTCTGTTTTGGTTCAGCTTAGAAATAAAAAAGGCAACCTACACACAAACTGACAGATCATCAGTAGAGCAGGTGTTTAAATTAGCTAATCAGCACCGCTATGTTAGCATGGCTAATAGCAACAGTGGCTAATCTACCACAGCATCACTCATTAATTATCGCAAAATACACAGCAAGCCTAAAAACCGAAAGCGTTGCTTACGTATTGTAACCCCAGACTCTATGAGTAGAGGCTTAGCCCTTTAAGGCTATCGCTAGTGGGTTTTAGCCTCACGCGCAGCGCAGCACTGAAAAAAGCTTAGTCCACGCCCACCTACTGGGCTACTACTCCAATCTGTATAAATAACGGTCAGACCAGACAAACGGCTCCCTAACAGCCTTTTTCTTCACCTATAGAGCTTTGGAGCGTGACGTCATTGCTATAGTCGGAGGGACATCAGCGCCATTTTTGTTGCCACCGACAAAAACGACTGTCTCAGATATTGTAACTATGGCACGAACTTGCTTTGTTATTGGGTGTTATGCCTGATCACACGAACGGAAAGATAAAAAGAAAGTACTAAACAAAGTACTAATGAAAATACAGCTAAAAAAAAAAGGAAAAAAAATCAAGAAACTCCAACAATCTGGGATAGTAAACCAATCCCATTTGGGAATGTCAAGAAATGGGCAGAATAAGACAAGAAAAAAAAATCTTCGTACTAGACAAAGTGGATTCAGGTTTATTGCTACGCTAACGTTAATAAGGTGATCTAGAAGAAGCTAACTGAGGAAATCTAGTGGTGATGAGGTGAAACAACACACAAAAATACTTTCTTTTCAGTTAATTTTATTTCTATTACACACTTTTTAATTTTTTTAACGTATGGCTGAACAATAATCCATGTTATCTGTGTGCTCCAAAAGCAAGAATGTTTAACTTGACACAAAATGGATGCAGATTGCGAAGTGAAAGTTATGAAAACAAAATGTCCATTCCTCTCGCTTCTTGGTGCCAGATAAAAGGTCTGTGTGGCTGTTGGTCCTTCGCTTACGGCCATACCACCCTGAACACGCCCGATCTCGTCTGATCTCGGAAGCTAAGCAGGGTCGGGCCTGGTTAGTACTTGGATGGGAGACCGCCTGGGAATACCAGGTGCTGTAAGCTTTTGCTGGCTCTTTCATTAATTTATCTGTTGTGAAAGATGACACTGAAGCAAAATGTGCCAGGAGGATGAGGAAATGTACAAGTTTTTGTTTCGTGCTTCTGAACTAAAAAGTGCCAAAGTGCAGGTCGTTAGTGCCCCCTGGTGGTCGCAATAGCTCACAGCACCTGTTATTCCCAACTTTGATTTTTTCAAGACATTTTTACTGCAGTTAAACAATCTATCATCATAATGCCTAAAGTCTGAGTCTTGTAAGGTTGTTCCAACGTTCTAATAGAGAGAAAGATAAACATTATTTTCGTGTTTCGAAGGTAGTTGGTCACAAGGGAGTTAATTTTAAAAAAAGAGGAGGAAAGTGAATCAACAATCTACAGCTAAAAACAGGAGGTGTGGAAACTACAATGCCAGATTTTGCAGCGCCCACTTTCTAACAGGTATTGTTTAAATTGTATTTTCAGATGTTTTATTGGACAGTTACTTAGAAAGATAAGCATTCATATGTAAGTTAAGGTGAGCTGTGACTATTTCCTCACGCTTTCTCTAAATATGTATTTGATGGAGTTTCTGATCACACATGGTTGACCTACATAAAACTAGAAACCCCAGAATATTTAGCTCGGTTTATTTAGCTAAATATAGGCTACATAAACCAAAAATATTGCGGGTAATTTAATTTTACAAACAACACTCATAGTTACAAACCACATCTGTTTTTTATTGCATAGGATACAAGTAAGAAACAAATAGAATGCATAACAAATATCTTGCAATTGGTCAATATTTATATACAGCACTGTCCACTGCATTGAACCCCACTGAAAACCTCCTGGTTATTCCACCAAATATTGATTTATAAACTCTCCCTGAGTTAAAACATTAGTTTTGTTGTTTCTAAATGAACATTAACTTTTTTCTTTGCAGTTTTTGAGGTCTGAAATCACTGAATCTTTTTCCTTATTTTCACCATTTCTCATTTTCTGCAATTAAAATCTAAATTTTAGCTTGGAATTTCAGAGACATGTTGTCAGTAGTTCATAGAATAAAATAACAATGCTCATTTTACTCAAACATTTACGTATAAAGAGTAAAATCAGAGAAACTGATCAACTTAACTGGTCTGTCAATTTTTCCAGGTGTAACCAGGTGAAGTTAAATCTCAACATCTAAAGTGATATTCCCTCTGTTTGTCTACAGCGGGTTTCAGAGTGTCCAGCAGGTGGCACTGTGGAGTAAGTGGGCTTCATATAAGCCGCATATATGTGCCGTCATATCTGCGGAACAGCCGTTGGTCCCGATCTAAAGTTGTAAAGGTGACAGTAAAAAAAAACAACAAAAAAAACTTCATAACTTGGTAAGATGACCTAGAAATCAGCTGCATTGTTAGAAGACAAGTAATAAGTATAAGCCTTGTACTGTAAAACTTACTGGTCGATTTTTATTCTTTTTTGTAGCAGTGAGGTTTTATTTTAATTGATTTTTTGTTTTTTGTAGCAGTGAGGTTTTATTTTAATTAATTTTTCTGTTTTTTGTAGCAGTGAGGTTTTATTTTAATTAATTTTTCTGTTTTTTTTAGCAGTGAGGTTTTATTTTAATTGATTTATGCCCGTGAGCAGTGAAATCTGGCCTTTGCAACCGTTGAGGGAGATTACACGGCTCTGTGACGGTGTGAGTGTTTAATATAAAAATATAAGCCGATTTCTGAGGTTGTGGCCTCAGTATGCCGTTTGTTTGACCTGTTTTGAGTATTTGTGTTGTTCAGAGGGGAGATAAATTGTCCAGGGTAGGAATCGCCTTCACTCTGGACAGGCTGTTGGCCGTTTGGGAGTTTCAGTTTGTTGATTTCTTTGAGGTCCTTCAAAATGTTGTACATATTTAAAGCAATGTTTCTTGCAAAGTAGTATGTTGTTTTCTTATAAATGTATATAGAATGCTTATGTAGTGGTGCTTTTCTGTGTTTTTTGTATTTTTCTGGTGTCAACGTTTTTATTTGTGATGGTCAAGTTAGGGAAACACCTTTCACGACTTTCTTTATTTTGTTAATACCAAGTCAAACCAAAATTAATACTGTTCCATCTGAGGACAGTCGGGAAATAAAACCCACTTACGTTTTTCAGTCGGATGTATTCGGCTTATTTGTCTACACTTGGCCACAGAAATATACTTAAAGTGAAGCTGGTGTGTCCGCATCGTGCTGTGTCGCTTTAACGAGACGGTCGGGCGGTGACGGTGGGACGGGGGGACGCAGAGCTGCCGCAGCTGGACCGGGCGGGAGCAGAACCACACCGCCCTGCTTTCATCCTTCTCTGTGAATCCGAGGAACTGATCATCTTTTTACTCCACCATGAGGGATTACACGGCCACCTCGAGCAACGAGGGAGGCTGCATGCCGTGTTGCCAAGTTTGCGTTTTCGTTTTTACCGCATTCCTGATCGTTGCGGAGAGGACGGCCGGTGAGTGCTACCTGGGACACGCTCTCATCTCACTCCGTCCACTCTTTTCTCTACACAGGGTAGATAAAAACCTGCGTGTTTGCTGTGTTGATCTCGTAACAATCGGTTCTGGTTCTGTTATGTTTGCGGTGAGATGCGGGTTTGCTGCGCTGTGTGGATGCGGGGCGCCACAGACAGGATTCAGCATCAGCATCAGCAGCTCTGAGTTTTAAACTCATTCTCAGTTTAAAGCTGGCCTCTGTTGTCATGAATAATAGACCGCAGCGGGATCTGCAGAGTGTTCCCTATTTTTAAACCTGCATGCATCCAGACTGCTGACTCATGTCACCGTGTTCCCTGCCTTAAAGTCTCCTCTTTAAATGGTCTGTGGGATATTTTGTGATTGAGTCCAAGAGGAGCCATGTTGTTATATTTTAGCGCTCTTTTTGTATGGATGAGGGGATGGGCGTTTACCCCGGGATGGGGCCTAGTCTGGCCGGACAGCCCGCCTGTTTGGCAGCTCAGAGGTTCAGATTACATGTATGGAGGAATGCGGGGAGGCAGAACTGCGGGATGATGATGATGATGATGATGCAGAGACGTTTGAGCAGCTACTGTCACTAATGAGATGTTGAACAGAGGTCATGCAAACTCAGTCTGGACAGTCATGACATACAGGATCTATTATATCCCAAACACTGACAGTATTATTAATAAATTAGTGTCATTTACATGCAAACCTCGAGGTTAAATCTGTAGAATTAGTTGCAAATTTAAAAAGACAGCCCAAAATGTTATGGCAAACTCATTTAGGGACTTTCTAATAGAAATTAGTGATAGAATTGTACTGTTTATCATTTATTGTGATAAATTTCTTATCATGATGAGAATTGTGATTTATTGTTGTCATAAATTTCAATTAATGCTGATTTAAAAAAAAAAAACAAGCTGTCCATATTGTCAGGATTGCAATTTTTACTTTTTTCTCTACTGTTTGTTAAACCAGTACCACAAAATATCCCAATAATACTTCAAGTCCATCTCTACATCCATCACTATCCACTCTGTTGCAGATTGTTTGTATGTGAATGACATGAAACTTCTATAGTTTCATGGTTTTCTGCTTTAATCCAACAGCAGAACTCAACATTTTACAGAATGCATGTTGCTTTACACTAAAATTAGTTGATTCAAATGATTTACTAGATCAATAACAGTAAGTATGTTTTGGAGTCAGACTTATTTCTCTAACTTTTAATCTTCAATGTTTCCACAGAAGACCAATTATTACAAATTACAAATTCAAGGGTCACAGTGTACGCATTTGTAAAGTAAGAATCAAATAATTTTCAGTTATAGTGTGCATATGTTACTCCAGCATAGACACCAGGAGCACAATTTAAAAATATGTATATGTTTATAAATAACTGTTAAAATAACAATCAGGATATAACAATTTTCTGCTGACACTGTTTGTATTATAGTTAAATTTTTAAATTACAACCCTTTGAAACTTGCAGTTCATAAATCTTTAACTCACATTCAGAGAGCCTGCAGAATTAGACATACTGATTTTATTTTCTGTGAGAAATCAGGCTCTCTGTAAAAAGATGTAAAATGTGAATTTTACATTAAAGTTCTCCTTTATTTACTGTGTTTCCTGTGTTTTTCCCAGTAATCTACTGCTTTGTGTATTACATTTGGATTGGCCACAACTACTGCTATGCTCATCTTGCTGGCTTCACGGCACTCTTCCTTCTACCAGGTAAAAAAAAATCAGACCAAATAAATCCATATACAGGCAGAGAGTGAAAACTGCATTAATTTAAACTTTTCTTCCCCTGTGTGTTTGCAGGCTGGGGTCCACAGTGGCTCAGTTATCTGTGGTATCTCTCAGATGGAAAAATCCCCAGGAAATCTCTCAGATGGACTCACATATTACACCTGGGAATCTTTAAAAGGTGGGCTGACTTTACAAAGCTGTACATTTATTTCATTTAACCCTATGTCTGATCATTGGCTGCCATGTTTGTCCCCGGCAGGCTGTGGGATTGTATGCGTCTCCCGGATGAGGATGTGTATGGAGAAATCATGCAGCAGGCTGATGTATCTGCGTTACGTCTGTTTGAGGCCTTGGTGGTCACGCTCCCCGAAACGCTGCTCCAGACCTACGTACTGATCTGTACCGACATAGGCGTCCGCTCTCCTGGTGAGCTGAATGTAAAGACCACAGTGTGTGATTAGTGTGTGTGGCTGAATAAAGACAGCAGAATAGCTCACAACGTTTAAATGTAATCAGTTATCCTCAACAAAATTTAAATTTCATAAAATTGATACTTTAAATTGTAAAAACTAAAAGAAAAAGAAAAATAAACAGTAATGTGTGTAATAAGCTGCAACAAAATCTAATCCAGAATGTTCCTTTTGATTGAGCTTCAGAGGGACTTTGGCTACGTTCACTCTGCAGCTTGAAGTGACCCAAATCCGATTTGTTTTTGCCGTGGCCGTTCACACTTCTGAATACATGAAACACTTGTATGTGTTCTCCAGTGTGAACCACAAACGACCTGAAAGAGTCCCGCATGCGCAGTAGAGGGCGCAATAACTCCCTGCTCTCTCCTCTCTGCAGCCTCGGTGTGTTTTGCTGTGTGTTTGCTGTCTCTGGCCTGGGCGCTGGTTCTCTACGCCAGATCCTGCTCGCTCATCAGACCGGGACACCTGCAAATGACTCCAGCTGCCATTCTTTGCCGGCTCCTGTGGAGGGTGGGCGTTATTCAGCACATATGCCTGAAACTCACAGCAGTCGTTTCTGTTTCCTGTGTGTAAAGATGCATTCTGTGTTCATTCAGGTTGGCATGTTGGGATCCCGGTTTGCTGTGCTCATGCTCTTCACACGCATCTTCAAGCAGTGGGTCCTGGGAGTCATTGGTAAGCCAAGAGCTTACGCCGCGGTCCCGTTACCTCAGTGTAAGAGGCGGGAAGAGTAACCAAAGAGTAGCAGTACTCCAACCTATTTTAATCAAGTGAAAAAGTAAAAATAAAAAAAAAATACTTGGTAAGGCTCAGGTACTGAGTAACTGATGAAAACACCGATTATGCTTAAAAATTACATCAGATGGACCAAAAATATAAAGTTATGTGAACGTTTTGGTATTTTAAAATACAAAATAAGTAAAATAAATATTTTTGCAATTTCTTTCAATGTAAAACTTATGAAATCTTAACAAAAACTGCAGGCGTGTCTGTGCCTGCTGAATGTTGGACTAAAATAACAACTAAATGACTAAAATCACAGTGGGTAGAAAATCCAGAAAATTTGCTCCAGTAAGAGTAGTACGTTTATCATTTCCTCCATCCTACTTTTAAACGTTTTACTTCATATTTATAATGTGTTTGAAACTGACTTTGGAAGTGTGTGTTTGTGACAGGTGTGCACTGGCTGGGCGCGACTTTCTGGATGGTGTCTCAGCAGACAGACATCATCCGTTCAACTGGTCGATGGAGCATTTTCAACCTCGTCCTGGGAGCCGTTCACGTCTTTCTCTTCCTCAACGTGAAGTACGGTCCATCCAGATACCGCATGGCTGCGTTTTACCTGGTACATCTGTCTGCTAGCTCATCTCTCTGGCATTTGTTTAATAATGGCAGCAAGAAAACCTCTGTTAAAAGAAAGCATTGTCTGCAGTAGATAAACAAGGCAGATGACAACAAGATTGATCTTTGTGGTGCAAATGCAAAGCGCTATATGTGGAGTAAGTCCCTAACATTCCTTCCATGAAATAAGATGGTGGCAGCTTCATGCTGCAGGGATGTGCTTTTAATCAGGGGTAGGAAAGCCAGCAATTTCAAATCAAAGTCACATTTCTGATCTCAACCAGAAAGACATAAGAGAGATGGAGGCAATTAATCTGATGTTAATTAAATCTGAAATCTGCTAAAATGTTAGATAACATTGTAAAATGTACCCACGAGAGACAGTAAGGTCTTATTTTTTCATAAATTTCAACCCCCTCTACAACCAACAGGTCATGTTTTTAGAGAACGCTCTTCTTCTTCTGGCCTCCTCCTGGTTTTTTGCGATGGTGTCCTGGGACACTGTGGGGATCCCGGCTGCAGTCTTCTGCAGCTTCCTCATTGGTAAGGCATGCAGCCCGTTTCTCTATACAGCATACACTGACATTTTAAAACTTTCTGTTTTCCCTGAATGTTTTTATTGAAAGTCTGCTGTCTGATGAGTGCTTTCCCTCTGCAGGTGTGATAGCGTTGGTGCTGTACTACCGTTTCCTGCACCCCAAGTCTTTTGAGATCTTCCAGAGTATTCGCCACAGGGGGATCGGTGGGGCTTGCATGGAGCGTGGATCTACACTCTCACTGGAGGAGAAAGTCGAGCCCAATTTCCATCACCGTACAACATTGTCTGGTCGGTGATCAACTTGTCTGCATATTTATCATTTTTGTAACTGTTTTTGTAATGTGCGTTAAATAAGTATTTTATTTTTTACTTTCTATTTTGACCCGTTTTGTTTGAGTTCCAGATGTGCCACTTTTTAAAATACATTTTACTTAGTTTTTTTTTATTATTATTTTTGTTTATAAAAACAGTATATTGTTTAAACAAAACATAGTTAAAACTTTATTTTCAGGAGGTGGGACCCTCATGGACCTGCCCATCCAATGGGAAGGCTGGAAGCATCACCACTGGCTGCTGATTCGTTTAGCTCTTAAGACAGGAGACGTTTCCAGGATCTGGTCAGCGTACGGAGAAGGCGGACTGGCCGGACTCATGGGTCTCCCCGAAGAAGTTCACTCCCCTGACATGCATCACGTACCCCGGGTTTGTTGCTCTCCTGAACTACTGGTCTATGTTTAATGATTAAATTTAAGGTGCATTCACACCAGGCCCCGTTTAGTTTGTTTTAATCAAACTCTAGTTTGTTTATCTAGAAAGTCCTGGAGTTGTGAATGCACAATCGAACTCTAATAGAGACCAAAATTGCCAAACCCAGGTCTCTGTTTGGTTGAAGTGAACTCTGGTGCGGTTCGAATGCATATGTGGATGCAACCGCTCCAAATGCAGGAAGTGGACTATAGTGCAGGGCATTCTGGGTACTAGAAGAAGAAATGACTTGTGGTCTTTTACCAAAGACAAAAGAGAAGTAAAACAACCTGACTTCATTTTAGTTTACATTTAACGATGAAGGAAGTTATGCTTGGTGTCTCCTTCAGCAGGTTTCATGTTGTTTCCTTCAGTGGTTCTTGGTGTAGCGCCACCTCAGGCAAAGGGTGAAACAGGTTATTAAATTAATTTGGTTTGTTTGACACAATGTAGTGTGACAGCGAACAGCACCAGCTGAAAATGTAACAAATGTTGCAATATTGGGTCCCTAATCCAAGCAGTTGAAAACTCCCTTAATTTTACCTTTATTTTAAGTTACAAAGTTACAAAGTGTGAACTTTATTGCTGTTTGTGTTTGTGGAATGAGGAAAAATGTCCTCTCTTCCAGACAAGATTGGTTTATTTTGAAATAATGTAATGGGGGCTTTTTTAATTCCTATTTGTCAGGTTCCACCTCCTCAGCTGAGAGTTCTTCAAATCTCACACCCAGTTCCTCAACCGGCCCCCCCACCTCCTCCACCACAGGTCGTCCAAACTCCTCAGGCAAGATGTTCTGTCAGAAACCTTGAACTGAAACCCAGTCGGTGTGAAATTGATGAAAGATGAAAACTGTGTGTATCTGTGTTGACTGCAGTCGCCAGCTTTAGCTGTCTTTTCTTTTCTGTACCCCAGGTGAGTGAAGTCGTCCAGCCACCTAAACCAGCTCACAGCAGCGTTGTGGCCCGACCAGTGAGAAAAGCTCCTCCCACAACCATCAAGGACATGAGATTTCCAGAGATCATCCCTTTCCAGGAGGCCATTCCTGAGGAAACCGCAGAGGACGAATTAAGTGCAGCTCCATCAGACGATAAAGGTGGGAAACCAGAAGCACTGTTATAAAGTGTTTGGCCATGTGGGGGCAGTAGAAGCAAGCTGTAATTACTGTTTTGAGACAGTTTGCATATACACCCTTCGCTCTTAAACACGTGTGATTGACGGCGCTAAGACCCGCCTCCTGTTTCTGAGTGGCTGTTTCTAGTTAGCAGTGGGAGAAGGCAGAGGAGCTTGATTGTTTTTCACAGATTATCTGTTTTATTGTCACGACAAGGTGACAGTTTCAACAAATATGTCAAAAATACTTTTTATAAAAGTTACATACTGCAACTTTAAATAAGAAATGCAATTAAAATCACACATCACACAAAATATAATAATTTCAATATTGTGGAAAAACTATATCATCCTGGTGCCAGAGCTGGGTAGTAACAAGTAACATTTGCTCAATTACATTTACTTGAGTAACTTTTTTACTTTTCGGAGTATATTTATTACCCTGTACTTTTAACTTGAGTAATTTTATGATGAATTATCACTACTTTTACTTGAGTAAAACTTATGGATTTTCTACCTACTGAATGAAAAACAAACGTGTTTATATCCAAAAATTCACCAGACACACCTGCAGTTTTTGTAAAGTTTCACTAGTTTTTTTATTAAAAGAAACTGATTTTTTTTAAAGGTTTGGTTGGCTCTAGTGGTCTTTATTTGAAAGTAGTTCGACAGGAAACAGGGTAATGAGAGAGGGGGAAGACATTTGGCAAAGGTCACCAGAATCGAACCTGTGACAGCTGCCACAAGGACTAAGGCCTCAAAATGTGGGCTGTGCTTTGCCCGTGCGCCACCACAGCACTGAAAGAAACTGATTTGATCTGATTTTCTTTTGCCTGGTTTTGTTCTTTTTTGTTATCTATATGAATTATTGTCATTTTCGTCCTTAAAGTACCAAAAAATTTCCCTTAACTTTATATTTTTCTCCATCTGAGGATGTACTTTTTAAATATTAAATGACTGATTAATTTGATCAGTAGACTTTTTACCAAATACTTTTTTACAGCTACTTTTTACTTCTACTTGAGTAAAACTATGTTGAAGAAGTGCTACTTTTATCCAAGTACAAGTTTTGGGTCCTCTGCCCACCTCTGCCTGGCAACAAAACCTTTTCTTGAAACAAAATTTTAATTACCTTCTTTCTATTAAGCATTTTATTATTGTAATTTATGCAATTTTAAGGTGAGTGGAAACACAGCATTGGACATTAACTGTTTTCTCTAAATCTGAAGGTGATGAGGACTTCCAGAGCGCTGCCTACGGCTCACTGTCTCTGTCATCTCCTCAACATGGCGGAAGCCTGCGCCACATCGACAGCAACGCCGCGTCTCTCACAGAGGCGTCCTCCTCCGTGGCGTCTCTGGACATCAAGACGCCCGGCTGGTCCCCTGAGCGCCGCTCTCCTCTCCTGTTGGCCTCCCCAGAGAAGAAGGAGGGAACCCCAGCAGAATCCAACACTACTCTATATTTCAGTGCAGATGCTCCGTCGCCGTCCAGCGGCAGCTACCTGGGCTGGGGCTCAGAGCTGTCGCCTATTTCCTCCTACAGAAGACCCTATCGGATCAGAGAAGCCCGCTTTGTCACGTCCACTCCTCGACTGGAGGCTGCAGGTGGAGCTGAAAGCCCCGGCCCGGCGCCGGTTGTCATCATTCCTGCCACTCCCGGCACAACACCGGGTACCACTCCAGGAGGAACACCTGGAGCCACCACACCTGCAGCTTCCACTCCTGGTTCTGCCATGCCTGGTACTCCACTCACACCAGTCATCTCCCACGCTCGCAAACAGATGGTGCAGTTTGTGGACTTTAGAGAGAATTTAGTGTAAAGTAAAGGAAAAGCTAACATTTCCAGTTCAGCTGTTCAATATATAAAAGCATTCTTGTATTAACTAACTTGTTGGAGAGTTATGAAATCTTTTTAAGCAGTCATAGAGTTCATCTATAAATTATTTATCTTTTTGAGCAGACAGATTATATTACAGAAAATAAGAATGTAAACTCATGGCTCTTTCAATATCTGGACTGCATACAGATTTTTAAGAGTTAACCCTTAAAGGTGACCTATTTTGCTTCCTTGCCCATAGACCAATCTTGGTTAGGATAGGTCTGTGGGCATTTTCTTTGCACAAAATAATTATTAGATGATGACATTTACTCTGTTCTTTTCAGAATGAGCTGTTTTAGGCTTCATGTCACTTTAAATCCAAATAAGCTGCTGGCCGCGCCCCAAATTCAACGTTTACACTCACACATGACAATGGCTGAAAACAGATACATAATTATACAACCGTACATCCTTGAAAAGCATTAGAAGAGCCTTCTGTACAGCCAACAAGAACGTATCAAGTGGTTTGTAGATGGTAAATCATCAACTTCCAGCAGCCATTGTACAGCATACAGCAGTGAAACCAGCTGACCAAACAAGCTTCAGTCCCACTTTGGTTGCTAGGTAACAGGCAGGGCTCGTCTGGGGTTGCTAGGTAACAGCGCAGTGCCCACCTAATGTCACTTAACATTCAGGAGGTTTTTGAAGCGGCTCATTTTCCAGACACCATAAAACTTTAGCTTGTTTCCAAAAAACAGCTGGGTGTTTTTTTTAAACGTTTGGCTGTTTTTAGAAGCAGTAGAAACACAAATGACGTACAAAAACCTGCAAATATGACATTTGGATAAGAGGTCCAACTAACGTTGCAGAGTTATGAGATGTTTTTAGGTCATCATAGAGTTCATCCATGAATTATTTATTCTGTCTGCTCTTTTGTGCAGACAGATTATGTTACATGAACTAGGAATGTAAAGTGATGGCATTTCAAATATCTGAGCATTACACAGGCTTGTGACAGTTACCACTTGACACGTTATTTGTTTGTTCGTGGTCCGCTGGTATGGGATCATGTTATCGGTTTCAAGGTTTGAAAAGTGTGAACGTCTTCACGTGAAACATTATATAGAATATGAGGTGAAATTACTATTATTAAAGGATCTCAGTAACTCATATATTATAAAGATTCATTGTACAGGTAGGGATTAAAATCGATTACTTTTGTTAATCTTGATGAAATGGATTAGAGTTAATGATGAGCCAAACGTCTTCAAAGTTTCATAAGTCTGAATATTAGACAAGACTAATAAAAAAAATGACCTTTAATATAACATTATAAGCCTACAGAAAGTGTTGATGTCTACCACACTTTTTCCTTCCACTCAACATTCCATTCATATGATTGGATTCGGATCTCCAGATACTTTCAAGGAAATGGCTTTCACACTGTGAATAATATCAATGACTGAAAAAACTGCATGGTTTCTGTATTAAAATACTTTTTAAATTATCCTTGGTAATTTTTAAGTTTTATTAACAGCTTTATTTTGAGTTTCGGTTAGCTGTTAGCAATATTTATCGCTTAATGCAATACTTCCAGGCAATATGCGAGTTTCACCTTGCTGCATTAAATTGTGCATCAACAATTGCTGCCTTCAAACGGACTAATTAAAACTGATAATAACCCAAATAATTAGTAGAGATATCCACATTGTCTTCATTTGGATTTTAATTTAAAACATATATTTTAATGTGTGAGATAATGTTGAAAACCTTGTTGATTGATCTGTTCATGTTTTTTTTCCACTCTTTGGCAAACTAACAAAAAACGGATAATGTGCATATTTTCCATACACGATTTAAAATACTCTCCCTGTTGTTGATCACAGACATCGCTGCGGCCAGTGTGTGTTAGATTATTAATTAATCATTATCAATATGCAACACAAGTCTTCTCATTTGTTTTTACTTTGCTCCAGCCTTTCTCAGGTTCTTACAATAGTCCTGATCAATATTTCATGATTTCTGAAGGTTTTTCTGCAGATTGTTTTTGTTGCTTGTTAAGCTGCTGACCTCTGAATCATTCAGGCATGAAACAGAGTTTTGAGCAAAGATATTTTGCCTCATAGTTGATGGCAGTTTGTCGCAAAAAACAAACTGTTTTTGCTCATTTCTTAAGCTGAATCTATGAACAAATACCAGAGCTTAATATTGTAGTACCAAAAATGTGATGTCCAAGAAACTGCTAGCTGAAAACCAGTGGTTTGTAACTCCAGCTAGTAAAGAAATTTTGATTTATTGAACTACTGGTGGTCCCCAAACTTGCAGCTTGTGACTAGCAAAATGGCAGCGTAAGAAATTCACCATCCTACACTGTTAAAATACAGACGTTTCATTTAGTCTCAGGTGGTTGCTATTTGGTCATGTGACGGTGATAAACGCAGCACAGGATTGTTTCCAGGCAATGGAAAAGCAATGTCAGCGTTTTGGTTGTTTTCTTACAGTGTGAAAAAGGAAGGGAAGGATAAAATATCATGTTATTGGTCATAGCAGCACTGTTAACATCGGATTTCAATATCTGTCCAAAGTTTCATGTTGGTGCCTTCCTACTTGTGAACGCTTCATAATCCTGATCAGCTGATCTGCACAAGAACAGAACAGAGGATTAAACAGCTGCTAGGGCATAATTTATTAAAACTGTGGAGATTTTAAGAGTCCCTCGGTGTTATCAAACTGATTTAGAAATAAGTTTTGTTGTTTAAATTTAAAATAATGACTTACTTAAACATCTTGAGGAGTGATTTCAAAATAAGGTGCAGGAAAATAAGTTTGCGTATGTAGTTCTGATTCTAATCCAGCATCTTACCGTTACTGCTCTGCAAAAACACAAAATCTTACCAAATTGTTTTGGTTTAGTTCCTAGTGCAAATGTCTTAGCTCACTAAGACAAAATCAACAAGTAACTCTTTAGCTTCAAATATGAGCTTGTTTAAAGTTAATAATTCCTTACTATTGATTTTTAAAAAGTACTAGATCCACTGGCAGATTGGAAAAAACTCGTATTTTTTTTTTTGCCAATATTAAGGAATTATTTGCTTAAAACAAACTCCTCCATCTGGCTGCAAAGTTAGTTTAGTCTAATTTCAAGTCTACTAAGATATTTGAGTTACAAACTCGACTAAAAATGGTAGAAATTGGTGCGTTTGCAGTGTGAGGTGTTGGGTTTCTGTTTCTTTTTATCATCCTGCTGTATTTTCAAAACTAAACTGCGGCGTTTCAGGCACGGTGATCATGATGGCTGCTGGTTTCTTTTTTTTTTTTTACAGAAGTAGCACTTACTGACTTGGTGGAAATGCAGATAATTATAGTTTAATAAGTTCTTGAACCAGTTAGGCACTGGCACCAGTTTGGTGAGATGAGGCCTAAAAGAGACAGCATCAACTGCCAATACAATACATTTATTTTATCTTGTCGTAGATACTGTTTTTATCTCTTCTAATACTTTTAGCATAAATGTGCTTCTCCATGATCTCTCTGGTAATTTAGTTTAATTTCTGAAGCGATCTCACCCTCATCTTATATTAGGAAACCACAGATATGGACCACTTAATATTTCAAAGCCTTCAACTATTTCAAAGCAAAATAAAATTTAAAAAATCAAGATGGACTGTCACCTGATATTTGTTTATTATTACTTATATTTCATTTATTTCTAAACTTTGACTCATTTCCTTATTAAAAAATAAATAACTAGATGGTTTTCATTCCAAGCTAACAGTCTGCTGGAAGGAAATGACTACAAAATTAAAATGAATGACCAATTTTCACTATGTTTACTCAAGACTAAGGTCAGAAAACCAGATACTAAGACAAGGAAGGAAAAGGTAGGGAAAGACAACAAAACAAAGCCAGAATGCCATGGAAGTAAAAGAAAAAGCAAAATAAACATAACTTAAGAAACAATGAAAAAAACGGATTAAATTAGATTAAAAAGTGAATATGTAGAAAAGGTTCAATCAAAAAAATGTTAAATGGTTGAACTGATGTTTTATTCTTGTCTTCCATTATGTCTGTTGTGTTGAGTTTTCATAGCGCTGTGATATTATAGCAAATATCTTAATACATCAGTGCTTTTGAACCTGTGAAATAAATGTGTGGTATATTTCATAGGCAGGTAAGCTGCTCTTGTGTGAAGTAATGAAAACAGAAGAAGACATTATAAAAGAAAGAGCTAAAGCTGACATGCTTAGAGCCGCTCCATTACTAAGAAACAAATCCATTCACAGCATCATCACTGCATGGTTCTCAAAGAAGCATATAGGAAGAAAGGACAGTACTTTGAAAAGACATGCACAGTATTGTAGCTAACATTAATTTGTATGTGTATGCAACAGCAATAAGGCAGCTTATGCAATGGATATCTCACAGGCTACTGAGGAAAATGCTTTACACCAGAAACGCTTCGCCTTGTAGAAATACAGTCAGCTGCCACACTTGCCTGCTTTCCTTTCTGTACTTAGAAAATAAGAATGTTTGTTGTAAAATATTTTCATTGGATTTTTATGTTTTCAATTTAAAAGTGAAGGTTTATGTTGGATGTTTGTGTAAAAAGCAGATTTGTGTGAAGTGTATCACTGATGCAAAAACTTGTGTTTTCTTCTTTTTTTTTTTTTTTTACAAACAAGCATCACCTTATTTGTGCAAGGCTTTACACAGGACCTATGTGGTAGAAGTGACCCATAAAGTGTGTTAGTGATGTGACAAAAATAAAGACATTTATCATGACACAAGCAAAGATTTGTTTTATTTCTTTCAT